TTTTTTTTTTAAACTGTATAGTTTAAGCCAATTTTATGTCGACTTTTAAAAACGTTTATCGCTAAGTCATTTTACTGCACAATGTGATTATATGTTATTTTAACTGTAAGTAGTCATACAAATCAATACCAATAAATTTTAAGTGGTTTGGCAAGAAAATTTTAATAATTTTTTTTTTGAAATCAAAAATTAACTGTATTTGTCGTAGTTTTAAAATCAAATTTTTTTCCTTTGTTTGGTTGCTATGAGAATAAATTTTGATAACAGCAAGAAAGTATTCAGGTGTATTAATTAGGTTCTATGTATCCGTTGTCTACTGAACATACAGTTGTTGTTGTATTTTGGACTGATTTATACAGATTGATCCCATATAAACTGTTCAGTTTTTGTAATAAGATATGCAATTATTGATAAGTTTAGCAGCAGGAGACCACATATTTCTAATTGATCTTTGTTAATCATCAATGCTTTTTATTAGTACATTTAACAGACCATTTAGCAGTTACTTGAATGATTAGTGATAACTGTAAGCATCACACAACTATTAACTATTAGTTGTATAAGTTAAATATAATAACAAAAAAAAACAGTATAAAAATAATAAAACAGAGTAAAAAACCTGTATAAACTTTGTTGTAATTTTGCTTTGTTTATATCACAAATATTCTTATAATCGCTTTCTTTTTTTTGTCTCGCAAATTGTTTGCACATTTTTATAAATTTTTGTTGTTTATTATTACTTTTTTAATATTTAATTATGCTTTTGCTTTCGACATATTTGAAATTGATGGTGATATTGTTGCATAACAACTGAGTTGTTATTGGCATTAGAAACCAACGATGACGGTATCTGAATGTACAGAGGTGATCAGACAGCAATTGAGCAGTTTTTTTTGATCATGAAACATTAAAGAATAACAGAATACCATCACCGATATCTGTAGTATTTTCTAAGCTAATTTACTGCTTACTGTTGATCAAGGATAAAGTTGCCTGTTTTTGAATATAGTAAATAATTGATTTTTTGTTTTTGAAATGCTGAATGTTTTTCTTTAACTTATGTGCTACTCAATTTGTTTAGTGTAATGTTTACTGTAAGTGGTTCTTTTAATCTGCTAATTTTTTTTTGCTATCTCCACATTTTAGACTTGGCTTCTCAACAACAGTTTTCATGGTATGCATGTGTATATGTGAAAGTATTTTGCTCTATGACTTTTTATAGTTGGTAGAAAGATGTAAAGTATGTCCCGTAATTATGAATACCAAAAATATTTTTGTGTAAGAATGTTTG